CCTTGCCCCTCTTTCTTTAACCTACCCCTAGGTAGCCACTAACCTGGTTCCTGTTTTTATAGATTTACCTATTCTGAAGATTTCATATAAAATGAATCAGACAATGTATGGCCCTTTATGCCTAGCTTCTTTTACTTACCATACTCTTTAATGTTCATCCATGTTGTAGAATGTATCAGTATTTTGTTACTTTTTATGGATGAATGATATCCCATGATATGGCCATGCTACAGTTTATCCATTAATCAGATGATGAACATTTGGACTGTTTCAACATGTTGGCTGTTATAACTAATACTGCTGTAAACATCTGCGTAACACTGTTTTATGGAAACTTACGTGCTCATTTCTCTTGGGGGTGTATGTGGGAGCGGAATTGGTGGGTCAGTTTGAGGAACTGCTGACTGTTTTCCAAGGAGGTTTCATCATTTGATTTTTTTCCAGTAGTGTATAAAGAAGTGAATACTTTTAATTGTACTAAAATATACATAGCATAAAAGTCTCCTTCTTGATCACTGTTAGGTGTACGGTTCAGTAGTGTCAAGTACACGCGCGTTTTTGTGCAGCCAATCTCCAGAACTCTTTTTACCTTGCAAAACTGAAACTCTGTAGCTATGAATCCCCCATTTCCTCTTCCCCCCGCCTATGGCAACCTTCATTCTACTTTGTCTCTGTGAACTGAACTACTCTAGGTACCCCCTATATGTGGAACAATATAGTGTTTTTCTTTTGAGTACTAGCTTATTTCACTTAGTTTAATATCCTGAAATGTTATCTGTGTAGTAACAACTATCAAAATTTCCCTTTTTTCAGGTTAAAAAACTGCTACTGCAGGTGTATATCACATTTTATCCATTCATAGGTCTATGGTCACTTGTTTCTCCCTTTTGTCTAGTTTGAATTATGCTGCTATGCACATGAATGTACTTTCATGTACATAGGAAACCTCAGCAGCCTGTTAAGATGTGTGTTCAGAATGTCTTGGTTGGAGTTTAGAAGTGTTCGAGCTTTTCAAGTGATTCCAGTGCAGGTGGGGCTCCAGTCCTGTGAAGTTAAGGTAAAGGATCATTCCTCTTGGTCCCGCCAGTGAAATCTAGTTTGCACCCCCTCTCTGCCGCCCCTTTCAGTGATCTGCATATCATAAAGGGGGCGTTAGGTGGCCTTTGTGGTTCTCCCCTTTTTTTTTTACACGTTGTACTAAAAATCTTTCCAAGATTCTACTTCATGACACCAAGAGAACCTGAAGCAAGAGGTCATATATAGAACAGTGTCTTGCTGTGCCTGGAATGGCTTTTAGAAAAGACAGGATTATCCTTTCAGGATTAGGCATGAGGAAACCTAAATTAGAGATGTGCTGGAGCACAGCACAGTGCTCATTATCTCAGGAGCAGTGTGCCTCTGCCAGAGAGAAGTCAGAAATGTCATAAGGGGAAAATGAGAACATGGTCAAAATTTCTACAGCTTCTTGAAAGTATTCACTGATTAGCTGATGGAAACTTGTGTGCCAAAAGTATTAATAGCAGTGTGAGGCACAGGTGTCCATGACTGGAAGCTAAATCAGTAACCTATTTATCAAGAGATCTTTGTCAGATTTAACAGTCAGCTTGCTGTGTGACCTTGGGCTACTTATTTGTTCTTACTGAACCACACTTTCCTAAACAGTGAATTGGAAGCAGTCCTCAAAGTTTTATATCTGTTTCTGAAACATCACTGACTGGCATGCTGGTTTCCCACTGATATTGATATGTGTGGATGGGAGGCTAAAGATTTCTGAGAGTAAGCTTATTTTGCTATGATTGAGGTTAAATCACTGAGATACTAGGAGTAGCAGCCACAAAATCCCATGATTTAGAAGATGAATAAAGGCAAACGTGGTTGGACTTGTGGTTATGATCTTTAAATGCCCATGGCATGTTTAAGTGTGGAGCAAACACACAACGGTTTGAAGACTTTGATTCACCTGGGTAGAGAATTACATACTGCAACTTCCATTTTTCCTGAATCTAAACTAAATGATAAAATACTAATGATTGTGATTTTGTTCTTAAATATCTCATTTTATAAACTTGGACTAGCATCAATGACAATTAGTGGAATATTTAGAAGCTTTAATGTCTATAAATCTATAGTTATGTATAGAGGTACAGCTGTCATAATGGCCATCTTGATGAATCTTAAGCAGCCCGAGACCTCAGAGAATCTTTGGAATCATGAAAAACATGGTTTCATTAGGTTTACTGACAGTGTTAAATCTTGGCAATCACTTTCCTATTAGTTAATCTGATGAAAGCTTATTACTAATAACATAGAACTTACAAGTTATCTAGAATAAAATAGTAGCTCCCTTCCACAGGGAAACTGGAGAAGCTGAAGACTCTACAGGTTAGTCATTCACATTCTGGTTCTGCCCAGCTAGAAATGGTTGAACAAATTACTCAGCTGTTTTGTTCTTTCATTTTATTATCAGTAAACTGGAGAAAATCATAGCACCTACTCATAGGTGCAATGAGTTTAAAAGTACAAAGTGCTTTGAATGGCATCTATAACAAACTCAATAAATGTTAGTTTATTTTTATTACTATTGTAGCACTTACCAATTTGTTTGGTGTTTTTACCTACATTTTCTTATTTGAGCCTCATCATAACTTTGTAAAATAAGTAAGGCAAATGTCATAAATAAGGAAAGTAGATTAGAAATGTGACTTGCTCATGGTCTGGCTAGTAAGTCTTGACAGTGGGGCTATGGATGTATTTTGGCTGATAATCTATCCTTCTCACCGTATTAGGATCTCCTGCCCAGCTATGCTGGGAAAATAGTGCTGTTATGATATGGTGTTCTTTTCCTGGAGTATTCCTTGTGAGTACTGGAGTTTCAGATTAAGGTATAAAAGTAGAGGATATTCTGGTTTTCATAATCAAGGATCATTTTATTGACTTCAAGTTGTACACCAGTATCATACAGTGACTTAATCCCCAGATTAAAGAAGTTATATTTGACAAATGCTTGTGTGAATTACCAACTTTCAACAATGGCTAAATCTTTGATGATATCTTTTAAGTTTAGTACTTTCCCAAACATGCTAATATCTAAAAGAAGGTTGGGAAAAGAGATGACAGAAATGAACCTGTAAATGATATATTGGTACCAAGTTCTAGGATTACTTTTCTACAAAGTCTCACGAGGGTTCTTGACTTCTTCAGTGGGTTCTTAGTATCTTGTGAGATGAAGCATCCTCCCATTAGTACTAAGAAAATCCCCAGAAAGATGCAAATACAGTAGTTACGATATTTAAGCAACAATGACACTACTTAGATCCATACTTGCCCTCCTCTAAGTCTGAATCCAGTTGTTGGAAGGTGAGGATTCTAGCCCTATATACTGTACAAATGGAGCTCTATTGACATCAGATTGCCTTTTCTGTAGATAAAGAAATGTAGACTATAAGAGAACTACATAATCGTTGTCCCGAGATACAAAATGAAAGAGAAATATAAACCGAAGACAGTTTGAAATATCCACCTCTATTTTATAGGGCATGGCTCTAATGATGTTTTCTTTGGTGAAATCTGGTACTATTCACTTTGATTTTAACTACAGAATAGTTAGCAAAATTCCAACTCAGATTTAGTCATCTGACCAAATAGTATAATTAAAAATTTGACTCATAAGATCTGATTTTTGCTGCCCGAACTTCAGTACTATTTAGGAAAATACAGTAAGTATTTCTAGGTTATCTGAGGGATTATGACATGGATGCAAAGTATTAGTCTATTCTTTCTCCTTTAGCCCCAAAAGTTGAAATAAAATCGCCTGACTTAATCATTTTGAATCCATGCGGCTCCTCTGAGATAGGGCCAGATGTAACCAGACAGATTTATAGAGTGTAAAATTCAGAATGGATTAGAAAAACCTTTCTGTGTTCAGCCCAACACATCCTAAATCAACATCCCCTGAATGGACCAGAGCAATCTCTGGCTGGCCTGGTGGGGGAGTTGTCATGGCAACTGACTGGCAAGCTCTGCCAGTGGAATGTGAAAGCAAACAATGGAGTGATAAGATTGTGTGCACAGCAGCAGGCAGTGGTTGCTTCTACCCATGCACAGTGACACATAGCAGGAGACTTGTGAGACCATCCCTTGTAATTTTGGCTCCTCATTTGAAATATACCAAGTTATCAATTTAAAATTAGTGCTGCTGATAGAAAGCAGAAGCTATGGGCAAATCAGCACCCAGTAGATAGTCTTCATGCTATACAAAAGGCCAGAGGATATTAGAAGAATACCATTCAAAAATATACTATAGGAGACTGAAGTAGGCTTAAAGTAACACCTATGACTCTTTAGTGCCACCTTGTGTCCTAATAGATACCAAAAATTTACTAGAAGCCCCCTTCAGAACCATCACTGGACCGCTGGCTACAAGGTAAACACAGAAAATGTTGGAGCTGGATTATATTACAACATGACAGTCTCTTTTTCAACAGGATATATACATAATGTCTTCTAAGTCTCACAATGATGAAAAATAAAACCAACTTTGGTAGAATACCGAAATGGGAAAAGAAATAAATGCCAAATAATGCCAGTTTTAGAAATGATTGCAAGTGGTTATATGGTGGGTCTGATGTGGGACGAAGCAATAGCAATGTTAGAGTCAGTGTTAAGGATTCTTAATGTTGTCATTACTACATTTTGCAAAGGAATAATATTTTTAAATATGTTCAGTTATGTTGATAATATAAATGATTCAGTAGAGAAAAATGAAATGTGTATCACTGATTCCATTTTCATAACTACTTTGTTTATGGTCAATGGGTAGCAAGATGGTAACATTTGCTCAAATGGCATCTCAAGCCCACCTGTGTGATCTCTCACCTAAACCAAACCCACTACCCATGGCTGAACCATCACCACCTTGTCACCATTCAAATCATAATCTATTCACAATTAATTTCAGAAATGTAAAATGATCAAGCTGTGTTTCTGTGTGTTTCCTCTAGGGTTTGAGTTTTTTGAAACAAGTGCCAAAGATAATATTAATGTCAAGCAAACATTTGAGCGCCTTGTGGATATCATCTGTGACAAAATGTCAGAGAGTTTGGAGACCGACCCAGCCATCACTGCCGCAAAGCAGAGCACAAGACTCAAGGAAACCCCTCCTCCACCACAGCCCAACTGTGGCTGTTAATGTCTACACACACACACACACACACACACACACACACACACATATGCACACACGGGCAGCTCCAGGGGGGCTCTGGTTGCCAAGAAACAGCATTTATAAATGGCCTATTAGCCTTCACTTATACTGCCTAATAATTATTTGAAGGAAGTCTTTGATGTCAGTGGCCCGTACATGCATTCAAATCTTGGGAGATTTACTCTGTTAACATGTGGCAAATATGTGATCTTATATTTGTAAGGACTATCCATTTATAAACATCTGGTACTTGCATGTGATTTGTTTTCTTATTTGTCTTAAAGGCTCTTTTTTTTTTCCAAATTTTATCTCAGATAAGCTACTGCTGAGATCTCAGCCAGTAATATGACAATTAACTTGTGTGCCAGAGATTCAAATTATGCTATTTACTTGTTGGGATGATGACCAAGGAATTGCTGTTATGTGTATGTGTGTGAGAAGAGGAGGGGGAATGTCAGGATGCTTTCCTCTTAACGAAAATCAAATAGAGTTTTTGCTCTTGACTGGGGACACTGTCATAGTTTACTATTAGAAAATGTATTTCCCACTCTTATTAACAACCAAGGAAAACATGACTTTAAAGAAATTGATGCCTCGCAAGCACAAGATCCTGAGTTCAACCCTGTACCAAAAGAAATTGAAATATTGTTTTTAAGGCCCTTCCAAGTTTCCTAAGTCATTAATATTAACCTGACTGAAACTAGATTTAAACAATAATCTTAGTTTACATTTTAAATAAGCAAATACCCTACCCAGGTCTGTCCTTTCTAATGATTCTACCCAACTTTCTGAATATTTTAGAGCATTAAACAGAGAGATGTCTATTGAATGAAAACCAGTTATGCAGGCTATAGAATTCCAAGGCCTGAGTTCCCCAGTTTCCTTAGGGACTTTCCTCCATTCCCATAGCACACACATTGCCGCCACCACTACCACTGCCACCACTGTCACTTTCTGGAAACATCAACAACTCTGAAAATAGGCATTAGGTTGAAGCCTGTTAAGGCCTCTAGCCCTGTAGGATGTTGACTTGCTTCCTCAAACATTGCCCCGTGTTCAAACCTCAGCTATATTCTTCTACCTACTTGGAAACTACTTGAGTAATATTTCAATGGGTCCCAATTTGAAGACCATTTTCATATTTAATTTTTTAAATCAGGTATTTGTCATTCTAAGGCATATCCCCTATGTAAGTCTCTAAATATGTTTAAGTTAAACAGAAACAACTTTGGAGCTGAGAGCACAGAAGCACTTAGGATTCATGGCAGTTTAAGAAGTGAGGCAAACATTTGAACATCCAGATTTTTATCCCAGATTTCCTGAAGACCAGGTATAAATAGCAAGCAAACCACAATTTCCATGAGCTTTGTAGAGCACTGATACAGAACTCAGCATCTATGTCAATGTCTAGCATTATTTACAGCTGGGTTTTTAGGAGAGCAACAGGAAATGTTTGGCAGATTTGTGAGGATAGTTTCATTAGGTAGACTTCCTTTTTTTTTCTTGGTCATTGCATTAGATATTTCCCTTTTCAAAAATAGACACTTTCCATAAAAAATATAGGTTCCAAGGTTAAAGGTTTTAATAGAAAAATGTGCATATGTCTAAAGATATCTCTGCAGAAATAGTCCCCACAAGTCAGGGAAATAATCTATACATACTGTTAGTAATATAAAAGATGAAGATTATGATAGAAAGCATTTGCAATGTTTTAAGCATATCCATGTTATTTCTCATCTTCTTAGTTTCAGATTCACTAATTGGTAGTAAATTTCTACTTTGACTCCCTGCAAGGCAAGCTTAACTTATGAAGACAAAAAAAATTTGTTTTATTATATTAGGACAGCCACCTTCACAACCACAGAAATTAAAATGAAGGAAAAAAATGAGCAGGAAGCATAAAGAAGAGATTGATCTGCTGTGGTATTCTGTTAGCATGGCATTATCTTGTTTCTATAACTTGAGCCAGAATGTGGCCATATGAAATGACATAGCTGTTACATTTACTTGTACCCTCTACTATGAAGTAGTAAAAGCAGGAAACCCTTCTCATCCTCCCTCCTAGCCCCTATCCCACACATATATACATCGCATGTAAAAGGCCTACATAGCGTACTTCAGGTGAACCTTAATATTTATATGGTTTTAATATACATGGAAAGCAAAATGAGAAAGGGTAAAAAAAATAAAGAGCCAATTTTTTCTAGCCTGAAAACTCCTTCCCCAAAGAACTGAATGCTTCTAGAATTAATTGGCCCTTGGAGCAAGAGACCAAAACCAAGTGCCCACTTGCAGTGTTCTAAAGTTGGACCTCTGTGTGGCAGTCAGGAAGAGTGATGCAATGGTGGCCCTGCATTCATTGCCAGGAAACATTCAATACTTTGTCCTTTTCAAACCCCATGGGAGTAGAGCCTTCCTAATTAATTCTCCATTCTGAAGCTCTCACTCTGCTATGGATTTTGTTCTGAATAACTCAAAAGTTTCCAGAAACAATTATCAGAGAGCTCAAAAAAGAGCACCTGTGTTCCTGATGTAAAGTATATGAGAGAGATTGTTCTCTAGTCCTAATTGCAGCAAGATATCTTGTCTTTAAGATAAAATTTGTCAAATAGAGAAACAAGCCCAGGGTTAACTCAGTGAGCTTCTATTGGCATTGAGCTGAATTATTTACAAATTACAGCACTTTAGCCCAGGATTTTTCAACCTTTTGGCCACTAGACATATGTACACACATACTCACTATACCTCCATCTCCCAACAGCTTAAATGTCTACAGGTCATTTTTTACCAATGACCTAAGTTTTTATTTAAAAGAACAAGACAGGTTAAAAAAAAAAAGTGTATACTTGTGTCAATTTGTAAATCCTGGACATCATTTCTTGTTTTCTTTGATGTAATTAAATGAGAAATTCAAGCATGATTTAAATTCCCTGCTGCTCATCACCTGGCCACCTCCATTCCTCAAAATAGGTTTATGAATAAATCTTGACTACTTTAGGCAGATGCTTCCAAGAATTTTGGTGTTGGTACCTCCCTTTCCTTTTCTAATGTAATTGAGAAATCAGATTGAAAAGTGTTTCACCTGAATAACCATTCATGCAGCATTTCAGGCTTTGGGAATATGAATGGATATAGAAGGTATGTGAGATATTGCTAAGCCCTAAGATGATAGTTTAACCACTAGCTTCACATCTATGGGCTCCAAAGAATTACTCTAATACAGTGAATTTCTTCATTGTTTTTACCCCTTCTGAACAGCTTCTACTGCCATGATGAACTTCTAATGATTTTAAGAAGCTTCATTTCCCCTTTGGGTCACTTGAAGTTCAGTATCCCTTTGCTACCTGGCAAATAAGTGCTATGATTTTTATTTGGAAAAGGGGCTATGATGATGCCTTCAGTTGTAGTGGAAAGCTGCAGCATTGTGATGATAAATGTGAAATATAAATTCAACAAAATTAAAACAAATTATATAAGATATCAATACATTCAATAAGCAAATGTATATTTCTCTTAATTCTTACCCAGAGTAATTATACATTTTTTGCTTCTTTAGCACATTTGTCATTTTTATGAGCCAATTTAAACTTCCAATTTTAACTACATCTTTGCTGACAGTAGACTTTCAGATATACAATGGTCTTCTTTTTAAAAAGCAAAATGCATTCCATTATTAGCTGAATTTCCATGAAACAACATTAATTTTGGAGTGTCATAGTTCATAATCAGTGGTTCATTGTGATGTGTTTTATCCAACATGTATCTTAGTGCATGGTTGAGGTTGTCCTACAATCTTTTAGTTAACTGTGTAGTACTTGTGGAATTGTATTAAAAATGTGTCCAAACTCTACCAAGCTGAGGTAGCAACTGCATGTGAATAACTGTGACATCAAACTTGAAGTCATGACTGAAACTCTTCTAGACCAAAAAGTTAGTCTGTTGATAACCTTAATAGAACTGTTAGAATGCTCAATCAGATATTTTGGAAAGGCGTACTTGGGAGCAAGCCTGTCTGCCTGACAAACCCTTTCTCTCGAAATGACAGATCACATGATGGGTCCCTGGAACTCTGTTCCTTGGTGTATATTGAATAACTAGGCCCCTGTGGCCTTGCTAACCACTCTCTGATAAAAGCATCCTCTCTAGCGCTACTCACCTCTGCCTGTTTGTGAACACTACCTGGGCTAGTTGGTCAATAAAATAGTGATATCTTCCTGGTGTACTGAACCTTTCAATATTAGGATCAACTTTTTGAATTGCTTTAAATTTTACATAAATTTTTTACTAAAGTCAGTGGCAGATATAAACCTATTTTATGCCCCGAATCCATTGGAACAAATTGGATAAAAGATAATAACCAAATCATCCCTGCAAAACATGTCTTTACCCCTAAAAGGCTGTAGGTTCCAGAAATACAGTATCCCTTAAGGGGGCACAAACAGGTTGATGGGATTTATCTAAAACGTATCTAGCTATTGCTATTGGTATTTCATAAATAAATGTATTTTTAAAACCTTCCTAGAAAGGCTCGACACGCTAGTCAGATCATATTTCCCTTTGGTAGATGGAAATATTGTGCTCGCTTCAGCAGCACATACACTAAAATTGGAACGGTAGGTGGAAATATTCACTCTTGGCCCACACAATGCTGCAACTCCCAAAACACACTTACAAACAATGATACTTTTTTTAGTGAAGGGAAAATTCCATCTATGGTGCTTTCTCAGTGCTGAGGAAAAGGGAGCATTTTCCACGTGCCAACTGGAACTCACATCTTGTTTTAAAAGGACCATGAAATAGATTCTTCACACTGATTTGTTTAGTCCAGGTCTGTGCATGTAATGAGTCCCCATTGAATCGAGAGGGTGGAGAGAAAACACATTTTGCTAACATTCTAGCTAGCAGAAATGAATGGTTTCAAAACCTCACAAAGAGCTTGAGTGTTAAGATCAGATCATTTAGCTCATGGACAAATTGAACTTTCACTTTGTGTTTCTCTTCCCTATTTCCTGATTTTTTTTTAAATCATTTCATTTTTAAAGTACTATCCTCATGGAATAGCAGGACCAAGAATACGGAATGAGATTTAAATTTCACCATTTATCTCCTTTCAGCAGCTATTGTTGGAGTTGGGAGTTACCAATGTAGTTCCATTTACATGTGTTCATATTTTCCTTCATTGTGGACAACTGAGACTTGGCTGTGGCTTTATTGCTTCATAGAATATTTCCATATCATGTTGTTTGGAGCTAAAGATTGCTTAGTTTCATGAATGCTGTTCTTATAGATGCAGGTGGTGTATGAAACACACAGACAAGTGGCCTTTCAGGGACATGAGCATGACCTACATCTGACTGTTGGTTCCATATCTTTTGTCAAAGTGAAGTCGGGGGATGTCTGCTGTGTCACTATCATGACCTTGCATGCATTGTCTCATCATTCCTGAGAGGTGCGCTGAATGACAACTGTCCTGTAATTCCTGTTAATATATTGTTAATGTCAGATGTGACGTGATACAGTTGGACTGTCCAAATGTACAACTATTTAATGATGTTTGTAGAACTGAAATGTCTTAAATGTTGCATGAAATATGTTCTAAAAATAGATTTTTTTTCTATTTTTCAACACCTCAGAATTGAGGGTTCATGGGCCAATAAGTGCAATATTTAATGACTTACTCAGTGTATATAAATTAGTGTGAAAGAGTGAATTATAATGAATGTGTGAGATACTTTGATGGCTGTGTGCTTATTCAAATGAATTCTTGTAGCCGTATCTGTCTAGTGGTGCAATTTATACAGTAAATATCTTATTGGTGTCATGTGAAACTCCTCTGTGCCTACTCTAAAGTATTTTTTTTTCTTAGAAGACCAAATGTTTAGTATCTACAAATATGTGTCAGTTTTACCTATTGGAATTGTGAGTTTTATTTTCCAAAAGAATGACTGTGAGCTTATTTTATAAGAGCATTCCCTGCTATGATTCATAATTCCCCTTAAGCTTCTTATGAGTGTACTAAGCAACTAATTTAGATACCTAAGAAAAATATGCATATAAGGAAGTCACTTTTTTTCTTCTCAGAAATACTGATCACATGTTGTCTACTAAGAATTTCCATTCTTGTGATTGTATGTATATTTTATTGTTATTCAACTTTGTACTTTGTTTCCAAATTTAACACTGTCAACTTTGGGAATCTTAACATATCAGTGTCTTTTTAGATTATAGCTGATGTTATATTCACTTTTGATTCTCAGTTGTCCACACTGGTGATATAGAAGAAAAGTCAATGCCTTTAATTCATTTTGGCATGTCATCATAACTTCATATATTCATCCTTGAACCCCTTTGGTTAAGCCCACAATCGTTGTCCTGAAACTTCACTAAGATGCAAAAATCAACAAATTAAGCCTAATTTCTAGATTGCTAAAAACTATACATAATTGTGTATATAAAGGTTAATGTGAGTCAACAACTTTAAATTCCTATTTGTCATTTCCACTTTCAAGGTAAAGTCTCATTTGAACATTTTATTCTGTTGTTGTGGGGTTTTCTTTAATTTAGTTAACAGGTTAAGCCTAGGAAGAAAAACAAGTAGCAACTTATTCACTATTAATGATGGAGCACAGTTGGTTCTAGATGCCCATGGATATCTGTACATGTTACACAACGTTCCATTCTCTCTACAGCACTTGACTGGAAATTGACAAGTGAGGATGTGCCAATCCTATGAAATGGCTCTGGACTACATGGGCAATGTCTGGCCCAAACTTAACTGTGACTGAAAGTTGCACTCAGCTCTCTAAACCCAATGAAGAGGTCAAGGGAAGATGCATAAGACGGAGATTAGTGATAACTTTGTGCCAAACTTTTTTAAATGGAAAGGAAAAACATAAGCAGGTAGCCAACGTTAGAATGATAATTTAAATGTGGTTAAATGAATGTTTGTTGTCACATAAATATTGAATGCTATGTACTCATTACTGTGGGAATCAATATGGAAGAGGCATGGCTCCTATCCCTAATGGGAGTGAGGAAAAAATGCAAGATATACTTTAAGTGCTAGGTTATGTCAGAATATAGGAGCATAGAGCAGGGGACCTGTAGGAACTGGGAGAGTGCAGGGGAGCTCCACTGATGTGGTCATATATAATCCCAGAAAGAATTAGACAGTGAGGAGATTGTGCCTGGGCAGATAAGTGGGAGAGACCACAGTACATTCTCATGAATGGAAGGGGATTTGGCAACTATAGATCATTGTTTTTCTCAAAACACCAGAGTGACCCTCTGTAAACCCTCTAATTAGCCCAGCTTAGCTCCCTGCATTTTGGTCTCCATGTGGAAGACAAGCTGCTATTTCATCATGCTCATCTGTGTTGAGCAGCCTCACAATGAACCCTGAAACCCAAATTGCTTGCTTAGCAACATTAGAGCAATTTATGTAGAAATTTGACAAAGTACCAAACCATGAGACATTATTTAGTCTAATGTCACCCAGGCAGATATGTACCCAGAATTTTTTCTGAAGCTCCATGTTTCCTAAGAAGGAAAGTAAGAAACACATTGGAAATGACACTTCTTTGTAACTGGGAACTTCTGGCTCCTTCTCAATGACCGCACTGTGGCTCTCTTCTTGAGAAAATATCGACAACAGCTTAATGCTTTCATATAGTGATTGTGATATTTAGTTGAAAACTACTGCTGCATAGCCAATATTGTGACTCTTAATGTGTCCACAGGAGCTCTTGTCTGGGTTTAAAGCTATAAAGTGTATTCACATTGTGAAGTTTTATCTTTATTGAAATTAATTGTGTAAAAATGGTATGTGCTCTAATAGCTATTCAGTTTTTATGTGAATTCTGTATGGAAAGTGGTTTTTGTTCTTTGAGTTTATCTTGTATTATTTTTTGAAGATTACAATAAATATCTAAGAGACTATATTCCTGGATTTCTTAGACTGGTGAATTTTTTTTTTTAATCTCCTTTCAATGTATATTCACTTTTGGTCTTCAGATGACTGTTTTCACTTCTTGTAATCTTCCCTTTCACCAACCAACTCCAGACACAATGTTGATCTTGAACTGCAGGCAGAGAGTGAATACATTTTTACTTAGGGCTATAAGTATCCAACATGTGAGTTTGTGCTTAAGTATGGGAGTAACTTACAATACTTGTAATATTTTAAGAAAGTTAAACTGTTGTGCCCAGATTTCAAGGTCCCCAAAGACCACCAAGGAGCCGATTCTGATGTAAACACACGAGGGTCATTTATTCAAGCTCGAGCAGGGACTCCCAACTGTCACCGCCACAGCGGGTCAAGATTGAGAGCTTCAACTCCAAATCAGCAGGGGTTTTTATAGTAGTTACAGCAAGGTTGTAGATTGGCAATTAAACCTGATTGGTTGTGCCTTGCATACCCAAGCTACAATCGGTTACACCTGGGACATTGGGGTAGCTGTTGCCAGGGGACGGCTGAACACTTATCACAAGCAGGTGGGCGAAGTACATCTTGTGGTTTTAGGTCTCACATTTCCCCCTTCACATGTAACTCTAGAGGCCCAATCATGGGTCTCGGGGGGTTAAATCTACTGGGACCTAAGCACCATTAATTGTACAGAGCTAACACTTTCTCCAAGGGTTAAGCAAGGGGCCCAGTAGAGAAGAGATAAACAACACTCTTTACCGAGGGCAGCACAAAGTCTTTTCATAATTATGACCGTCGACGACACAGTCTGAGCTTGAGAGGATTGTCACGGTTTTTGGACACCTGCCATGAAGGGATGTAATCCTCTAGAACGGCGTGTGGATCTGCGGGGCGGACGTGAGTGTAGTGTACCCACGAGGCAATCCCGTCGACCTTGAGAGTGGTGGGCGTGGTCAGGACAGTAACATAGGGTCCTTTTCAACGAGGCTCAAGGTCCTTCTGTCGATGTCTCTGGACAAAGACCCAGTAGCGATGGGGCTTGGGAGGTGGTCCGAACTCGAACAGGGCCTTTAATTTAGGCCAGATGTCTTTGTGAACATGCTAGAGGCTTTGTAAGGAAGACAACAGTTTTAATGGGAGGGGACACCCCAAACATGATTTCAAAGGGAGTTAGTCCCATCTTATAGGGAGAATTGCATACCCCATAGAGGGCAAAGGGAAGGAGAATCACCCAGTCACTGCCAGTCTCTAAGGTTAATTTAGTTAAGGTCTCTTTTAAAGTTCTGTTCATTTTTTCTACCTGCCCTGAACTCTGGGATCTGTAAGCACAATGTAATTTCCAATTTGCCCCCAGTACCTGTGCTAAACCTTGACTCACCTTGGAAATGAAGGCGGGTCCACTGTCTGACCCTAACATTACTGGGAAACCATACCTTGGCAAGATGTCTTCTAGTAACTTTTTAGCCACAATCTGTGCCATCTCATGTTTGGTGGGAAATGCCTCTGTCCATCCTGAAAAAGTGTCTACAAAAACTAGCAGGTACCTGTAACCATACCTTCCAGGTTTTACCTCAGTAAAGTCCAATTCCCAGTATACGCCAGGTCGGTTTCCTCTCAATCTGTTGCCTGGGTTGGCTTTATTGTGAGTAGCATTTGTCAATTGGCAGGCTTTGCAGGTGGCAACGATACGCTCAATTTCAGGAGCTCTTGCATTTTTTGAGTGCCCATGTGGGTGGCCCGGTGCATTTTGGAGAGAACTTGTTCTCCCAGTGCTTCAGGCAGGATGACTCTCCAGTCAGACAATCTCCACCATCTTTTGAGGCATTGGGCCATGGGCAGTTGTTTTATCCACTTTAAGTCTGCCTCAGTATACTGGGGAGTTTCTGGTAAGGCAGCGCCCCCTGTATCGGGCAGCTGAATGGTCAGGGTCAGATCAGCTTCTAGAGCTATTTTTTGAGCTGTCTGGTTGGCCAAATTATTTCCTCGGGCAATCGGAGTTTGGTGCCCAGGACAGTGGATAATAGCCAATTTCTTTGGCAGCCATAGGGGCGCCAGTAGGGCAAGAATTTCTTCTCTGTTTTTAATAGTCTTTCCTTCAGCTGTTAACAGTCCCCTTTCTCTGTAAATGGTCCTGTGTGTGAGTGGTAGCAAAAGCATACCTGCTGTCTGTGTATTTATTTAGCTTTCAGCCCTTTCCCAGAGTCAGTGCTTTGGTTAATGCTATGAGCTCTGCTCGCTGTGCTGACGTTCCAGTGGGCAAGGGTTCAGCCCAAACAACCTCAGTCTCAGTGACCACAGCTACCCCTGCATACCTTTGGCCATCCTGAACAAAGCTGCTCCCATTGGTGTACCAGGTATCTTCAGCATCTGGCCATGGCTGATCTTTCAGATCTTCTCGAGTCCCGTGTACCTGAGCCAAGATGTCAGCGCAGTCATGCAGCAGGGCCTCTAGGTCTGGGTCAGGCAATAATGTAGCTGGGTTTAGGGTGGCCGGGGTCTGGAAGACAACTCGGGTTGGATTTAAAAGCAGGCCCTGATAGTGGGTTAGGCAGGCATTGCTGAGCCATCTATCTGGAGGCTGTTTTAGAGCCCCTTCAATGGCGTGGGGGGTGGTTACATGCAGTTCTTGGCCCAAGGTTAACTTATCAGCATCTTTGACCATCAGGGCTACGGCAGCAATCATCCTCAGGCATGGGGGCCATTCAGCTGCAACAGGATCAAGTTTCTTGGACAGGTATGCTACTGGTCGACGCCATGGGCCCAGGTATTGGACTAGGATGCCCTTGGCAACTCCTTTGTTTTCATCAATGTAAAGGTAGAAGGGCTTAGTGACATCGGGCAAGCCAAAGGCTGGTGCTGACAACAAGGCAGCCTTAATTTGATCAAAGGACTTTTGTAGTTTTTCTGTCCATTGAAAGGCCTGATTGTCTTTAGTTGCCTTATAAAAGGGCTTCACTAGTTCCGCGAACCTCGGTATCCATAAACGGCAGAAGCCAGCCAATCCCAAGAATTCTCTAACTTTCCGAGGGAAATCTGGTGTGGGTATCTTAAGAACTGTCTCTTTTCTAGCATCTGGTAGCCATCTTTTGCCCCTTTTTAAGTATGTAACCCAGGTAGCTTACCTCAGGTTTGCAGATTGGGGCCTTTTTGGCAGACGCTCAGTATCCCAGTTCCCCTATGACCGTTAAGAGTTTCTTGGTTCTATCTAGGCAGTCCTCTCACACCTCAGCTGCTATAAGGAGATCATCTACATATTGTAATCATTTGAATGAAGTTTCCATACTGCCAACAAGGGGGTATTCCAGGCCGACTGGCATGGCCTTAGAATTCCCTGGGCAAGTAGCCTCCTGATGTGTGGAGTTATTCCCTTGTGGGCCTCTAGAGACATGGGATATTGGCGGACCCATGCCGGGTCTGCCCCTGGTTTTATTTCCACAAATACAGGCACTCTGTGCTTGGCAAGCCCCATGCCCCCAGTCTCTGCCCAGGCTTTAGGGAACATAGTCAGCCACTGGTCTATATCAGGGCTTGGCATGGTCTGCTTTTGATGTAGCCTATACTCATCTTCTAGGCTTATAGTTAACACTTGGATGGGCTTTCCTTCTTGGTTAATCATGAATGAGTGGGTTACCCAGCCCACTCCCAAGTCTACTGTTCTTCGGGTAGTCCATGAATACTTTTTCATGCCTCTGGCCCCTTGGACCCAGGAAGTTTTGTCAGATATGTGGCCATGTGGTTTGAGCAGGATTGAATGTTGAGCGCCGGTATCTACCAGGAACTCAACAGGCTCCCCCTCCATTTTAAGGGTTACCCTGGGCTTGGGGAGGGGTGCTGAGTCCCGTCCCCCCAATCACTTAGTTCGTCCATGGCCAGGACAGAGGCCTTTGAATGGCTTCCCTGTTGCTTTTTGGGGCACTCCTTAGCCCAGTGGCCTTCCTCTTTGCAGTAAGCACATTGATTTTTCCCCAACCAGGGGCACTCCCTGCATTCCCCCTTACGTTGTCCTTCCACCGCAATCCTTCTCAGGCAACGTTCACGTTCCCTTGGCTCTCCCGCAGTAGTGGCCAGAAGAATCTGAGCCAGGTTTCAGGTCTGGCAGTTGTCAGCTTTCACTTGTCTTTCCTCTGTGGATTCCCTGTTGTTATACACTCTCTCTGCCACTACCACTAAGGCCTGAATGCTCTTTTCTCCTAATCTGTCTACTTTCTGTAACTTTCTCCTAATATCTGGCATTGCCTGGTTGACAAAATGTATTATTACAGCTGCCTTTGTCTCATTTGCTTCTGGGTCCATAGGAGTATACCTACAGGAGGCTTCCTGAATTCTTTCTAGGAAGGCTGCAGGGCTTTCGTTCAGCCCCTGTTGTACATGCCCTACCTTGGCCAAATTGGTGGGCTTTTGAGCAGCCACTTTGAGACCTCCTAACAGAGCCTGGCGATAGACCCAGAGCCTCTCCTTACCTTCTGCTATGTTGAAGTCCCAGTTGGGCCGGGACAAAGGAAAAGAAGTGTTGATAGTATCAGCATTGGTAGTGGGTTGACCATTGTCACCAGGAACCAATTTCTTGGCTTCATTTTGGATTCTCTCTTGCTCCTCTGTGGTAAACAGGTTCTGGAGGAGCTCCTGACAATCATCCCAGGTGGGCTGATGAGTGAACAAAACAGTTTCTAACAGGTTAATCAAATCTCTAGGGTTGTCTGAGAATTTGGCGTGTTGAGTAAGCCAGTTATAAAGGTCACTAGTGGCGAAGGGCCAGTAGTGATGATGCTGTTACCATGTTCATCAGGGGGCCCTGTCGGCCTTAGTGGGAGAACAGTGGAGTCTGCCGGTCCTGCCAGTGAGGCACCATGCCAGTGGTGAGTGTTCTGGGCAGGGCCATCCCTGCTGCCAGCGCCCAGAGCCGGCCCTCTTTGCCCGGCTCCAACTGGGGCCGGAACTTCTCCCCCTGCCTGCTGTTGCGGGGGAGTGGAGAGAGAGTGGTAAGTGGTGGTGGGGGGGAGATCTTCCTTGGTTCCTCCTTGGAG